TTTCGAGAGGGGCATTGGTGAGGACTGGGATCATAAGGAGGACTTTCAAAGCAGGAGAATGCTAGAAAACTGGTTCTCAAAGTATGGTGCCTAGAAGAGCAACAAAGCATTACTTGGGGACATGTGAGAAATGCAGATTCTCAGGCCACCCCCCCAACCTACTGGATCAGAAACTCTGGAGGTGGAGTCCGGCAGTCTTATCTCAGCACACCTTCCAGGTGATCCTAATGCACACTCACATCTGAAAGCCCCTGACAGAGGTAAGGGGATTGGAATAGGTGGGCTTTTTTTGGTTGTTGTTTTGTTTGGGTGCATAGTGTGAAAAATAAAATCGGATAGATAGAATGAGACTGGATCACGGGTAGTTATAAAAGAACACACTTATAATGTGGCTAAACGGAGAGGCAGAGCCGTAGCCCAGAGGTTGGGGGCCAGTAGCCCATCCCCTTCTCTGGTCTAGGCCTGGTGGTAAAGTGGGAGTCGGACTAGACATGTTGATGCCAATTAGATGAGATAGGACATTTCAAGTGGACACTGCCTAGCCAGGCACTTGGCAGCTGCCTCCATGATTTCAGTGACTGAATTTTGTGTCGGTTCTGATAACCCGCAACAAGATGCAGCAGACAAACAGGGACCAGAGGAGATAGCTGATGAGGGGCGTTACAAAGAGAGCATTAAAGAAGATGAGTCTGGACACAGACTCACAGAGTGCGCTGGGAGACTGACCGGTTCCAAGGTTATGGGGAGAGACGGCAGACTGTAACAGCAGGAATGAAATGGACAGGCACCCACTATTTGGTATCTGTGTTGCATGTGTGGCCCAGGGCTGCCATAGCAAACTGCCACCAACTAGGGGCTTAAGACAACCAATGTTCATCTTCCTACAACTCATTTTACTACAGCAGGCCCAAAGTTCAAAATCAATATCACTTGACCGAAATCAAGGTACTGTCAAGGGTGGTTCTTTCTGGAAGCCCCAAGGAAAAATCTCTTCCGTGCCTCTCTTGTAGCTGCTGGCAAATCTTGGCATTCCTTGGTTTGTGGGTGCTTCACTCCTGTCTCTGAGTCTGTCTTCACATGGCCTTCCTACAAGGACACTCTCAATGGATTTAGGGCCCGCCCTAATTCATTCAGTCTCCTCTGGGTTTTACCTTGATTATACTCGCAAAGAGCCTATTTCCAAATAAGGTCGATTCTGAGGTTCCAGGTGGATGTGAATTTGGGGATGACCCGTGTCAACCAAGTACATATACTTTTAAAAAATGGAGTTGGGACTGAAATACTAGGTGGAGTAGAGAGAGAAGGTAGAGGCAAGGTGAGGGTTATGCTTCTTCCTGCTGGGAGAAGGGTTCTGCCCTGGCAGAGAATGGGCAGTGGCAAGGAGAGCAGGGAATGTATGTGGGAGAAGACTGAGAGACTTGGTGTTGGAGCTGGGATGTTTCCACTGAGAAATGACAGCCCCACGTTAGGCCAGTTCGAGCAAGGTGTTCTGGGAATGAGGAAGGGTGAGTTGGGTGAGGAGTAGAGAAGGTCGTGGTGGCCTCTGGCTGGAAGGGTGACAGAGGCTTTCCCCCCTTCCACATTTAAAAAAGCAGGAAAGCCGGGCTCGGTGGCTCAGCCTGTAATCCCGCGCCTTTGGGAGGCTGAGGTGAGTGTATTGACTGAGCCCGCGGGTTCGAGACCCGCCTGGGCAGCGAGACCTCATCTCTACAATAAATAAAAAAATCAGCCGGGCATGGTAGCGCATGCCTGTAATTCCAGCTACTTGGAAGGCTGAGGCGGAAGGATCGCCGGAGCCCAGCAGGTCGAGGCTGCGGTGACCGGGAGCAGCCACTGCACTCCAGTCTGGACGACAGAGTGAGACTCCAACTCAAAATAGATAAATAAATAAATAAATAAATAAATAAATAAATAAATAAATAAATAAATAAATAAATAAAGCAAGAAGACTGGCCCTCAGCTGTAGGGACTGAAAAGTGCCAGCAAATTAAAAGTGTGGTATCGTATGCAGTTTTGTCATGGGTGATGTTTTTAAGAGCCTAAATGAAGGCAGATCTAATTCTGTGATGAACATAATTAATTAAATCCTGTTAGCATTATATTTTTTAAATTTTTTTATTTATTTGAGAGTCTTACTCTGTCGCCCAGGCTGGAGTGCAGGGGCACGCTAACGGCCACCGCAGCCTCGACCTGCTGGGCTCCGGCAATCCTTCTGCCTCAACCTTCCAAGTAGCTGGAACTACAGGCACACGCCACCATGCCCAGCTAGTTTTTTGATTTATTGTAGAGATGAGGTCTCACCAAGTTGCCCAGGCTGGTCTCAAACCTGTGGGTTTAGGCAATCCTCTCACCTCGGCCTCCCAAAGTGCTGGGATTATAGGTGTGAGCCACCATACCCGGCCTCCATTAGCATTTTAAAATAAAGTCTTTATCGTAGAAAAATTATAGATCTACAGAAAAGTAGATCTACAACTGCAAGTACAGACAGTTCCCATAGACCTTGTACCTATACCTGGTTTCCCCTGGTTTTACCACCTTACACCAGCATGGCACCTTTGTCACAACTAATGGACCGATTCTGAGATATTATTCATTAATGGCCGTTATTCGTATTTCTTGAGTTTATCCCAAAAGTTCCAAGATCCCATCCAACATATGACATTATATTTAGTTACCCTGTCTCCTTAGACTCCTCTAGACTGATGGTTTTCCTTATTTTTGATGGCCGTGGCAGTTTGGAGGACCTTCAGTTTGGGCTTGTCTGATGTTTTTCACATAGATAGTCTCAGGTTGTGGGTTTTAGAGAGGAGGACCACAGAGGTGAAGTGCCATTCTCATCATGTCATGTCATCACATCATGTCAAGGCGACGTGCTGTCAACATAACTCATCTTGGTGGATATTGACCTTGACCACCTGGCCGAGGTTTCTCCTCTGTGGTTACTTCTTCCCTGCTCTTGGGATGACTTCTTTACTGTGCTAGTTAATAGGAAGTCACTGAGTGTCACCCACACTTGAGTGACGAGTTATGTTCTATCTTCTTGAGGGCAGAGTATCTACATAAATTATTTTGAAATACTTCTGTGTGGGGATTTGTCTGTTCTCTTCATTTTTTCCTTTACTCAGCCATTTATTGATATAGGTATGAACTTACATATATTTGACATATACTTTTGTTTATAATCCAATACGATGTTTGTTATTTTGTTGCCCGAATTGTTCCAGCTTTGGCCTTTGGGAGCTGTTTCAGTTGACTCCTGTTTCTCTTTGGCTTGCCCTGTCAACATAGTATATTTGGTTTTGTTGTTGTTATCTGATCATGTTACTCGCTGGCATCACAAATGCTCCAGACTCGTGCTGTGTACTCCCTGAATGGCTGTGTGCCATTCTAATAGGCATCTAGAAGTATCTCATTATTGTTTTAATTTGCATGCCCCCGGTGACAAATTGTTCACCTCCACCCTGTGGGAAACAACTTCAACTAGGATCCAGTGCTTACATGCAGTTCCTGTTATCTCTAGTCTGACCGGCACTACTTATTTCCAAAATTATTTAAGTCAGCACCTTTCCCTTGTCCCCCTTTTATGAGATGATGACATGTATTTGTGATACAGGTGGATTCTTTGGCATGATCTGCATTTTATCATGGGGTTCCCCCACCTCCTAGTTGGTTTTTATCTGCATACGTTAAAGTTCACTCTGCTGTAATGACTGGGTTCTGACGATGTATAGCGTCACATATCCACCACTACAGTATCTTCCAGAACAGTTTTATCACGCTAGAAAATCTCCTGTCCTTCATCTATTCAGCACCCCCCCCCCACAGCCTCTGACAACCACTGGTCTGTTTTCTGTCTTAAGTTTCGTCTTTTCTAGAACGTCATCGAAATGGAATCATACAACATGTAGCCTGTCAGACTTGTTCCTTTCACTTAGCAATGTGGATTTGAGATGTAGCCATGTTGCTGTGTCGATAGGCTCATTCCTTTTTAATCAATGAGTCATATTCCATTGTACAGATGGACCCATTTGTTTATTCATTCACCCATCAAAGGACATCTTGGTTGCTTCCAGTTTTTTGATAATTATAGATAAAGCTGCTATAAATATTTGCACACGGGTTTGTAGACTTAATTTTTCAGATCAATTGGGTTGTTCCCTAGTGTGATCACAATTACAGGATCGTATGGTAAAACTGTATTTAGCTTTATAGGAAACTGCCAAACCGTCCTCCAAAGTGGCCGTAATTTCGTATTCCCACCAGCAATGAATGAGAGTTCCTGTTGCTCAGCAGTCCGGCGAGCAATTGGCATTTTGTCTGTTTTTTGGATTTCAGCCATTCTGATAGGTGTCTAGAAGTATCTCATTATTGTTTTAATTTGCATGTCCCTAATGACAAATGAAGTTGAGCATCTTTTCATATGCTTATTTGCCATCTGTATATATCTTCTTTGGTGAAGTGTCTTTTCAGATCTTTTGCCTATTTTTTTTAATTGGACTGCAATTGTTTTCTTACTGTTGAATTCTAAGAGTACTTTTTATGTTCTTTATACAAGTCCTTTATCAGATATGTGATTTGCAAGTATTTTCTCCCAAGCTATACCTTGTATTTTCATCCTCTTAAGTGTCTTTTGTAAATTTTTTAAAATGTTAATGAAATCCAAGCTATCAATTTTTTTCTCTCATCAGTTGTGCTTTTGGAATTATAACTGAAAACTTGTCACCAAACCAAAGGATGTTTTCTTCTAGAAGTTTCATAGTTTTGCATTTTTCACTTAGGTCTATGGGCCATTTTGAGTTAATTTTTGTGTAGGGTGTGAGGTTATCATTCAAGCACCATTTGTTGAAAGATGCCCTTTCTCCATGGAATTGCCTTTGTGCCTGTGTCAATTCTGCAAGCGTTTTAAAATTGAAGTCCTTTCTTTCTACATGACTTGAGTTCTGAAAAGTGTTACCTCTGCAAAGAGGAAAGTTCTGATTCCTTTTCTGCTTGTCTTACAGCAAGACCCCTGGTGCAGACCCTACCTTTAAGAACCACAGTCAACAACGGAACTGTGTTACCAAAGAAACCCAGTGGCTCTCTGCCGTCCCCCTCTGGGGTCAGGAAAGAACCCGCTGTGCCAGCAACCAAAAGGTGGGCCAAAAGACATGCCTCAAGTGAACTCCAGAAGCCGTTCTCCCTCAGATTCTAAAATAAGCATCACTCTTTTATATGACACTTTACAGTTTCTTGTCTGAGTTAATGCTTCTAAAAGTTCAACACCTGATATGTTGCCACAGCAGGAACTAGATAAATGTAATCTTCTTTTTTTAGATTTAATTATGTTATTTTTGAAATCTCATTGGCCAAAACCACAATGGGCTGTTTTGTATTTTTACTTAAAGTTTTCTTTTTTTTTGGAGTCAGAGTCTCACTGTGTTGCCCAGGCTGGAGTGCAGTGGCATGCTCACAGCCACCCCAGCGTGACCTGCTGGGCTCAAGTGATCATTCTACCTCAACCTTCCAACCTTCCAAGTAGCTGGAACTACAGGTGCACGCTACCATGCCTGGCTAATTTTTTTTTTATATATTCTAGAGGCAAGGTCTTACCAGGTTGCCCAGGCTGGTCTCGAACCCCTGGGCTCAGGCAGTCCTCTCGCCTTGGCCTACCAAAGTGCTAGGATTATAGGCTTGAGCCACCACGCCCAGCCTTAAAGTTTTCTTTGGAAGAAACAAAAGGGAGTATAACCTGTGCAAGAATAAAGATGCTGTTTCCAAGCCTATACTTGGAATGTGGCAACATTCAGATTGCCATGGCAACCTGAGATATTTTATCTCTAAAATTCGGATGAGCTCATACTTTTAAACTGTACCTGCCAGTGGAGTTTAGATATTGATGTTGTCTACCAGTAAGAGCATAGTTTGCTCTTAACTTTTCTATTATTTCATAATTGTCATTTTAAAATTTTATATTTCATAACCAATCTAAATTGTTAGGCTCTGAAAAATTAAATGCCTGGTGCTTATATGGTTTAGAAAGGCTTAAAGAAAGTCTTCTGCAACTCTACCTTATGACTTATTCTAAGAATGTGACAGAATGTGTAGCGTTCATAAAGATGCGAACCACCTTCTGGGCCCTGGGGGGGGGGGTGGGGACGAATGTATTCCACATACACTGAGGGTACCTGGCGAGCTTAGAAGACTCAGTACTTCCTTTGATGCTGGCTTGTGACATGGAATGAAAAATCTGGCAATCCCATCTTCTCTTCTGTTGTCTTTTCCCTCAGTTTGGACTTGAGGTCTCTCTGGAAAGTGGCTATAAACTCTAGCCCTGCCCTGGCAGGGTTCCAGGGACTTTGGTCATAGATGTTCACAGTGTGCTTTTCACAGGACACTTCTTTATTGTGACAGACCTTTGACCAGGTGCCCCTCTCACAGGACATGCGTTTATACTGGCAGATGTCCTTCTGGCTCTTGTCTGACCTGTGTCCAGTTTATTCCTACCCAGACAGCCACTCTCCAGGAGAGCCCTGACTGAGAAAGAAGATAGGTTTGGGTGTGTCAGCTGAGACAAGGGGAGATGACTCAACAAAATACATGAAAGAACGGAAGCAGTTTATTACTCACAGGTCCATGAGAGACGTGGAGTGCCCACGAGGGCCAGCAGGGTGCTCAACCAGCAAGTGGGAAGCAAGAGAGAGAGTGAGGACCTGTGGAGCTATGCCTTTATGAAGACCCGAGGATGTTATCCCTTAGCCTTCCTCAAGGGGCTGTGGATTGGCTAATTTAAAGAAAAACGTGGACAGTGGGAAACTTACTGACGTGATTCTGGCATTGACCATGAGATTTTATCTTGGTCAGCAGCTGTGGAGTGTGCCGGGTTTTGGGTCAGTGAGATGAGGAACAAGCAGGCTATGCCATGTATAACTGCACAGTGAGGGGAGGTTTTAACTAGCAAAATAAGCAGTCACAAAAGGACAAACATTACATATATGATGTTACTCATATGACATATCTAAAGTAGCCAAAAATCCTAGAAATAGAAAGCCGAGAGGTGGTTGCCAAGGGCAGTTGGCGGGGAGGTCACTGTATTGTTTAATAGGTATAGAGTTTCAGTTTTGCCAGATGAAAAAGGACTAAAGATCTGTTACACAATAATGTGAGTATACTTAACACTACTTAAAAATGGTTATGATAGTACATATAATGTTATGTGGCTTTAAAAACATTTTTGCTTTTTTTTTTTTTGAGAGACAGACTCTCACTATGTTGCCCAGGCTGGAGTTCAAGCTTGGGCAACATAGTGTGTCTGGGTTTCATACAACTTATGTTAGACCTAAAAGTGGATACCAAGGCAATAACCATCTTAAACAAATTTATGTATGTGGCATCTTTTATATATATAGAGAGAGTGATTATACATAATAGCCTGTCTTTCACCAAGCAGATTTTTATTTTGTTTTAGCAGATAGAGTTTCACGTGTTTATATTTTGTGAATGTCAAGAAAATTGGATTTGCAGTGCTTTTTGGAACTTTAAAATTAAATTCTAGGCCTAATTTCATATCTGTTTAATAGTTTTTGGAATAAATTCTACTCAAAATGAGTGCAGAATGACATTTTGGATTATATTTGGCAGTAGTAGACATGATTTTTATTCATATAGATGTTGTAAGATTGACAAGATTGACCTTCTTTTTAAGATTTAAATTTCCATTCATTATGATTTCTTTCTTTTTTGTTATTGTTATGGTAAAAACACGAAAGCCAACCAGGTGTAATAGCACATGCCTGTAGTCCCAGCAGCTCCAGAGGCTGAGGTGTGAGGATCACTTGAGCCTAGGAGTTCAAGTCCAGCCTGGGCAATATACTGAGTGTCTGTCTCTTAACAAAAAAAATACAAGCAAAAGTTTTTAAAAAACAACATAGCATTATATGTACTATCTTAACCACGTTTAAGTAGTGTTAAATATACTCACATGATTGTACAACAGATCGCTAGTCCTTTTCCATCTGGCAAAACTGAAACTCCATACTTTTTAAACAACACAGTGACCCGCCCCCCACCAGCGAAACTGCCCTTGGCAACCACCTCTCAGCTTTCTATTTCTAGGATTTTTGGCTACTTTAGATATGTCATATGAGTAACATCACATGTGTAGTGTTTGTCTTCTTGTAACTAGCTTATTTTGCTTAGTGTAATGTCCTCGTGGTTCATCCATGTTGCAGCATGTGACCGATGGCCTTTTTTAGACTGAATACTATTCCGTCGCATGCACATATCTTTTGCTTATCCACTCATCCATCAATAGATGCTTGGTTTGCTTCCATGTTTTAGCCATGTGAATAATGCTGCTATGAACATGAGGGTACAAATATCTCTTTGAGACCCTGCTTTCAAATCTTCTGGGAATGTACCCAGAAGTGGATCATAGGGTAAATCCATTTTTAATTTTTTGAGGAACCTCCATAATGACTTTGCCGTAATGACTAGACCATCCTCCATTCCTCCTAACAGTGCACAGGGGTTCCAATTTCTCCAATCCTCATTAACACTTATTTTCTATTCTTTTGATAGTGGCCATCCTAATATGTGTGTGGTGACATCTCATTGTGATTTTGATTAACATTTCCCTTGTGATTAGTGATGTTGAGCATCTTTTCATGTGCTTTTTGGCCATTTGTATATCTTTTTTGGAAAAATGTCTATTCAAAACCATTGCCCATTTATTAGTTAGGTTATTTTGTTGTGAATTGTAGAAGTTCTTTATACTGAATGTTAACTACTTATCATATATATGATTAACGGGTATTTTCTCTCATTCTCTAGGTTACATTTTCCTCCTATTAATTGTTTTCTTTGACATGCGGGAGTTTTTAGGTTTGATGGAGTCCCATTTGCTTATTTTTGCTTTTGCTGCTTGTGCTTTCAAAAAATCATTACCAAATCCAAAGTCCTGAAGCGTTTCATCTGTGTTTTCTTCTAGAACTTTCAGGTGTTGTTTTTAGGTCTTTAATCTATTTTAAGTTAATTTTTGTATATGGTGTAAGAATCCAACCTCATTCTTTTGCATATGTATATCCAATTTTCCCAATATTTATTTCTTGAACAGACTATCCTATCCCCATTGTGTAGTCTTGACATGCTTGTCAAAAGTCACTTGGCCACATATCCAAGGGTTTGTTTCTGGGCTTTCTATTCTTTACCATTTATCTACATATCTATCTTTATGGCCAATGCCACACCATCTTGATTACTGTTGCTTTGTAGTATGTTTTAAAATCAGGAAATATGAGGCCCCCAGCTTTATTCTTCCTTTTCAAGATTGTTTTGGCTATTGAGGGTCCCTTGGAATTACGTATTAATTTTAGGATTTTTTTCCCCATTTCTGCAAAGAAATGATAGAGGTTACATTAAAGCTGTAGGTTACTTTAGGTAGCATGGAAATTTTAACAATATTGTCTTATAGTTCATGAGCATGGGATGTTTTTCTATTTATTTGTATCATCTTTTAGCCTGCTTTACAGTTCTCAGTGTATATAAGTTTTTTACCTTGTTGTTTAAGATTATTCCTAAGTATTTTATCCTTTTCAATGCTATAGTAAATAGGATTGGTTTCTTAATTTTCTTTTCAGATTGGTCATTGTTTTTGGTTTTTTTTGAGTTGGAGTCTCACTCTGTCGCCCATACTGTAGTACAGTGGCTGCTCCCGGTCACCGCAACCTCGACCTGCTGGGCTCCGGCGATCCTTCCGCCTCAGCCTTCCAAGTAGCTGGAACTACAGGCGCGCGCTACCATGCCCGGCTAATTTTTTTTATTTATTGTAGAGACGAGGTCTCACCAAGTTGCCCAGGTGGGTCTTGCACCCGTGGGCTCAGACAATCTACTCACCTTGGCCTCCCAAAGTGCTGGGATTACAGGCTGAGCCACCGAGCCCGGCCTGGTCTTTGTTATTGTATAGAAATATATGTGATTTTTCTATGTTGACTTTATATCCTACAACTTTGCTGAGATCATTTATAAGTTCTGACAGGTTTTTTTTTTTCCAGAATCTTAATGGTTTTTCTACATAGAAGTTCTAGGTTTTTTATTCTTTTTTTTAAATCAATATTAATAATAATAAAAAAAGAAGTTCTTGTTATCTGCAAAAAGAT